AAAAAATTGAAAAAGCCAACAAAACGTCAATCTCTTTTTGGTCAAGTTTTTCCTATAATACTTGAGGGTTGGTGTTAACTTAGGTATTTATTTATTTATAAAAATATAGTATTAATGTATCCAACTATACTTGTATTGCCTAATCAACCTTTCAAATTGAATATATTACTTATGTATCCAAATATACTTGTATTCACATCACTATTTCAACTTGTGTTAATATTACAATATAATTATCTATGTATATAAGTATTATACTATATACAAATTTGACAAACAACAAAATTCTCTCTCTACACTCTCTGCTAACAACGGTAACCTAACGGCTCCACTGAACTGCGGGTATCCCCCACGCTCCATCTCATAGAGCCACCAGGGAGTCTCTCATCGACGCGCCGGGACAAGGAGATGGCTCCAGCATTAGAGGTGACACTCATCGCAAGGAGATATGCAATTTCGCCATGGAAGGAAAAGTATAAAAGCAATATAATTTTCATGAAAAGCAAATTCTTCAATCAAAACCCTATAAAAATAGATGAAAATAGATGTATACAAATAAAATTTCATAAAAAGGATGAAAAAAATCAATTAGAAAATACCTAATGAATTCAAATCACAAAAATCGCTCCTAAAATCATACAAAATGATCTTGAATTGGAAGAAATTTTGGGGAAAATACAAAAAATCTTTGATATAGGGATATTGATGAAAGAGAAAGCATTGATGAGGACATAATTAATTATGAGTGTAATAATAACTTTCCTATTTAATATTTATTTATATTAAATATAGATATAAGAAAAACTGATTATTGGTATATAATTAACTTTGCTATTTATTGTATAGTTATATCCATATAACATAATAAAAATAAACTATAGCTATTTATTTTAAATGTATATTGATGTTTGCCATATTCCGTAGTTTTTCCTAAATTCGTATTATGCCCAAAATATTTCTCGTTCAAGCTTTTTATGTCTCACTCCTTTAATATTATGGTTATGTTAAGCACTTGTCAATAGAGATCATTGGTCTTAGGAGTCACGAGAATTTATTCAATTAAATCTTCCCTTTCCATTTCTAAAGATTTTAATTACAATATCTAAGTCATAATGTTTTGGACAATTTTATTTTTTTCAAAATAAATAAAGAGGAGGAGATAAAAGAATAAGACTGATAAGTGATAAGGATGATGTAATTTTTTGGCAGTACATGATACTGACATGGGAATTAAGGAATTTAGAATATTATTTAATTAATGTGTGAATATGGCACAAGGGCACGAAGACGTATAGTTGATTAGATACAATAATTTATAATCATTTTTACAGTAATTAAGATTAAATTTAGGATTTCACGTAAGATAAAGTCAAACTTGATAATTACACAAGACGAAGACGTACGGGATTCATCTTCTATCTAATGTTAATTTAGGATTTAAATATATTTTTCATTATATTTCTGGTTTAAATATATAAATATTCCTCGCATTATATTTTGATATAGTATCTTTAATTTTGACGAAAAAAATAGGTGGCAACTTTAAATTTTCCAATATTAAATATCCGATTACTTTATAAATCCACTTATTTAATAAATTTCCTCCACTCCGAGTTCTTTTTCTTTTCTTTTAATGAAAATGTTTCATCATCAAGGAGAAAAAAAATCCTTATCTTTTTGTTTTATAAATTGGAGATGCAATTAATATAGGTGTCCACTTAACCGAGCGAATCGACTAAAATTGAACCAAAACAGCACAAGTGGGTCATCAAGGCCAAATCAAACAAAAAGAAATGCAACGAAAAACTCAAAATATAACGAGAGTACTATAAATTCACAAGTAACAACACGACCAATATATAAGACCACAACTAAACAAGACCTACAATAGATTATTTTTACAAGTCTATAAGATGAAAAACGGTTGGGAAAGGCAAGCACAAAATATATGTGGACGATAGGGCAATAGCGGAAGAAAACTCAAGTTAAAACTTTTTCTTCTATTTGAACCAAGAGAAGATAAAATAATGCAAGAAAAAACATTGTTTGAGGCACCAAACAAATCAACCGAAGCAAGCAAAATAAATTAACACACGAGAGGTCAAGTTTAACGTGGAAAGCCTCTTTGGTGTGAAGAGTAAAAACTACAAAGCCACAACTCCACTAAAATCAACAAGAGTTACAAAAGTGTTCTCTAAAATGACCACCAACAAAGTGCCAAAAAATGAGCAACACAACTACAAGATATATAGCACCAAAAACTAGAGAAACAAAGGGAGTAAAATCACCAAAACGCAGCTACTGTTCACGAGCTAAATCTGGAGCTATAGGACTCTAAATCACCCTTTCTCAGTTTCCAATCAAAGATTAAGTTGAAAGGAACAAGCTGTCCAAAAATCTGCTCAATCGAACAAGCAACGAAGCGAGAATTGCGATTTGAAATTGGCAACTAGGGCTTGTACGAAAATATGCACTCTCTCACTTTTCTCTAAATGGCTGCCGATCTATCTCTTGTGATTCTTCCAAAATAAGACCTAACAAAAAAGTCTTACATATGCACAATAATATTAGGCTTATGAACAAAGTGGGCTAAATTTATCCACAAAGAAAAGGAAAGAGACCCAAAACCTTAAACTTTTATTTATCTACACAGGAAGGGAAAAAGACCCAAAACCCAACAAAAACTACTAACATCTAGTCCAGCCATGACTCCGACATACCCATTAACTATACAAAACAAAAAGAAGACTCCAAACTCATCAACTCCGGAAGAAATAGAATGTACCAATCATCAAATGGACTCAACCACATGCAACAAGGACATACATGTCTACTTGATAAGTGAATGCAGCGCCTCCAAACAATGGTCAGTACTACTAAAATTCAACGAGGATTCAAATAGAACACACCAAATTTAGAATGTCTTTAGATACGCTGCTGCTTGAATATAGATACATACTTTTGTAGTTATATATAATTAACACAACATTACAAGTCAACTGATCATCAAACCCTAAAATAATTATTGAAAGGGCCTAACTCCCACAATGGCTTTGCCTATCTTCCACTTGCATATCATCATAAGCAGATAAATTCAAATACTTGTCTTGTTGCTCAGAATTAGCCCTCACATCCCTCCATCTTGCTCTGCATATCACACACTTAATTGATCTTCTTCTGTTACTTCTCTTCCATGACATCAAACATTCTTCATGTAATGGATTCCTACAAGTCCCACAAGCTGCTACTCTTTCTTCCTTGTTCATTTCTTCCAAACATATTGGACATGTTACACCCTTCTCTATCTCTATTTTCAACGGTGAACATTTTGACCGTTCTTGAAAAAATAACTGGTGAAACCTGTTGAGACATAAAATAATTAAATAATTAGAACTATGCACGCTATTAATTGCTAATTGCTTAAATTTTTAGATGATATGAT